TGCCCTACTGATTTGACCTCTAAAAATATACTAGTTCTGTAAATATAAAATCAATCCTAACCGACTTAAGGATAATTTAGCAAGACTCATAGGGTTAAAGAATATCTTGAAATAGTATTTAAAACATCTTTATAAGACAGAAAAATGACATTAAAAATAAGGCTGAATTAAACAGAGGAAGTTTGGGTTTATCAATTGAAATCTTACAGGAACGTGGTGAGTTGATGAAGTATCTATGGATTTAAGTGGGGGCAGAGTATGGGAGTGGGCTGTTTTAACAGAAATCCTACCCTACCATCTGCCTAGAATAGCCTGGACATTCTCTTGCTTAGGAGACAGCCAAGAGGGCAGACCAAATGCTCCCTCAAAAGCAATATACTTCTATTACTCTGACTGCTTGGTCACCGTGGGATTAAAATATTAAAATGACTAATCCCCTAATATGGCCAAGTATCAAATGCACTGAATACCAGCGCTCTTAGAATCAAATAAAAGGAGTTCTTCTGGGATATAAATAAATAAACAACCGAAATAAATCTTTCCAATACCAACAGCTACCCAAATGAGAAACCTAGCTCCTAATAAAAATTCTTATTACCCTTAATCCGGAATGTACTCTTAAATCCGGAGTATTCTACCCAAATCCATAGAATCAGATTTTAGAGCACTAAATAAACTACACTTTCACAACAAGATATAAAATCATGCTTAACAGCTGGCGGCTCTATAGACTTGAGTTACAACATTTGAATTTTCATGCCACCAAGACTACAAAAGGTGAGTTGACAAACAACAAGGCTAAACCCACAATCCAATTCTGCCAACTACCTATAAGGAACCAATAGGCACTGAAAGTTTTGAGATAAATAGTTCCTGCTTTCAGAAACCTAATAATCTAGCAAAGCGACATGAAAAGTAAACAAATAATCTAAAACCAGAATTTGCTAAGTACAGTACAAGCAGTTTCAAGAGCTTCTGTGTAAGTTTAAATGAAGGGGCTTGCGTGTCTCCTTATGGCACAGGACACATGAAAAAGGCATCACCTGAGTTGGCCAAAGAGAGTAAGAAGAACTTAAGATTAAAAAACAAAAAATTAACAAAGTAACAATATGCATGTAGTTTTCAAAAGTCAGAGTACTACAAGGTTCACAATGAAAAATAACAGCCCTATTTTTTCCCTCTTTAGCTACCTGTTTCCTGGGAAATTCTCTTTGCTATTCATCTCCATCTTGCTGATACACAATTTAAAATGTCCTCACTGACTTCCTCACAGGGACACAGAATGCGGCCCTTTCACACCTGTGCCCCCTTCCTCCCTGCCCTGCCCCCTTCCTACATAGTAACGCCTTCTCAGTGCCAATCTGTCCTGCTA